ACAACCATTAGAAAACCATTAGACGCCATTAGAAAACCTTCAGACAACCATTAGACAACTATTAGAAACCATTAGAAAACTTTTAGAAAACAATAAGACAATTATTTTAAAAACCATTAGACAACCATTATACAACCATTAGACAACCATGAGACAACCATTATACAACCATTATAACCATTAAAAAAATGAATTGACAACATTTAGAAAACCATTATAAACCATTATAGACCATTAGTAAACCTTCAGAAAACCATCAGATAACAAAAAGTGCTTTGTCTGTCTAGAGAAAGCATATTTGCTAGTTACCAATAGGTTAGAGGTATAGCTCAGATACTGCTAGAAACAAAAGCCCATGTTGACACCCAGAGAAAAAGGAACAGAGTTAAACACAGAGCAGTGCGATACATGCTATTTGCAGTCATGTGGAGGGAGCCAACTAAATCAGTTCTGGAGTCACCATAACCACAAGAGCAGTAGAGGTCATGGACAGTGGCAGTGACATGAAAAACTGTTTGTGTCAACATTCAGAAACACACTGGCGCCTGTGTCCAGCAGTAAAGGGATACACACATAATTGAGGCTAACTGTGCTTGATTTGAAGGCTACTAGTCCTGAGTCCACAGTGTGGATAATTGTGGTTGCAGGCTGAGGTGTGGACATCTGACCGAGTCAGAACAAAGCAACATAGATAAGAAAAATGATTTATCTTACCACAGCTGTGGCTTATCTGCCCATGAGTGTAGGAGTTCTGGGCTCTTGAGCTGTGAGACAGTCAGCTACAGTTGATGCAGGGCTGCTCTGAACATGGCCAAGATCACTGTTATCAGTTGCATGACATTATCTGGAGGAGTAAGGCTACTGCACACTGGCTGGAATGAGGAGGAGGATCTGAGGAGGCTGTTTGGCTGGAGATGAGTCCTTGTTGGTTAGCCAAAGTGGCTGCACATTCAGCTGTGGTCTCTTGTGATGATTGATTCCCTAGACAGTGACCGCTCATCGTTTTCCAATAGTGCCTCACATACTCGACACACATTATTGGTGAGCTTGATAAGCTGGTTGCATGTTGTCTCATCCTGTAACGCTGCAGACTTGCATCAGCTAGTAAGTCCCCGTAAGTTAGCAACATATTGGCACACAGACTCACCAGGCAGCTGGTGACGTTGCCTAAATACACCAATCAGGCATAACATTATGACTGCCTCCTTGGTTCTACGCTCATTGTCCATTTTATCAGCTCCACTTACTATATAGGTGCACTTAGTTCTACAGTTACAGACTGTAGTCCATCTGTTTCTCTGCATACTTTGTTAGCCCCCTTTACCCTGTTCTTCAGTGGTCAGGACCCCCATGGACCCTCACAGAGCACATCTCTTGCTGTACAGTATGAGCTAATCATCGTCTAGTCCTTCGCTGCCCACAGGACACTGTTGGCTGGATATTTTTGGTTGGTGGACTACTCCCAGTTTTCTTCTCCAAACTTGTTAAAAGCACATGTTGAAAATCATTGAGGCCAAAGGGAGGTTAAAGTCCTAAATAGTACTGACTTTACACCAAAGGGAATAGAATTCATGAGCTTTACATTCTCAGGCTAGTGCTGCCACACATATTGTCACAAACTTGATTTTCTAATAATAAACCTGTGTCGTTATTGGAAACCGCTAAAGAAAATATACTCATTTGTACATTCTGAAAACATTTGCTAGTTGTAGCTGTGCACATGAAAACAGTACTAAAACACACACTAAAACAGACTAACCAGAAAAGACTTTTATTTAAAGTTAATAAAACATATAATACAATATCTACAATACAGTGTCTGCTAAAATGAAGCATCATGGTGATCCTGCAGCTGTGTGTTTAGTCATCATCACTGTCAGATCTTCTCCTCTTGCTGGGCCTGTCATCTGTCTCAGGGTTGTTAAAGTAGCTCTTTCTCTTCCTCTTCCTGGAGTTGCTCTGGGTCTCCGGCCTGCTGGAGCTGTGGCCCCCAGAGGGACCAGCAGCATTGGAGCCATGAGCTTCAGCATTATTAGAAACTTCCAGGTGGTTTCCAGGGACAGGGTCATTCTGGGTCGGGTCATTCCAAGGTGGTGTGGAGGCAAAAAAAAAGACTACAATTTGCAGGAATAATACCATATATGGGATTGTTCTCTGTAGAGGACGTCTTAGGGCTGTAAACCTCTTATTCTCCAGGGTATATTTTGGTTTGTCCATCTGAATTTACATGACCAAATCATAAGGCAAATTATTCAGTAACTGCATGAAATAAATGCAAATTTTTTTTTTGTAAAAGTTCCCCTCAAATTAACAGAACATGTGTTTTATGATCATACACACATTGCCATATGCTTACAATTTACTGCTGAAAGGAGTTTAAGAGGTTAAAGGAGCAGCTTGGAAAGTCACTCTTTCTCTCCCTCTTCCTGGAGTTGCTCTGGCCCACAGAGGGACCAGCAGCATTGGAGCTATGAGCTTCAACATTATTAGAAACTTCCAGGTGGTTTTCAGTGACAGGGTCATTCTGGGTGGGGTCATTCTGAGGTGGTGTGGAGGCATTAGGACGTGGCATCGTGGAGGCTGAGAATGAGAGATATGACAAAAGTGAAAACGACACTCCAAGATTACAAAACATGCATCAGAATATGTTGTCCTGAGGTCCGAAAACAAGTTGGAAGAGTTAAAATAAATGAATAAAATAGACCTTTTTCACAGTCTCTGCATCACATTCAGTAAATAGTAACGTTATTCCACCTGCACCGTTTAACAGAGCAGAGCAGATCTTTTTGTTTAACACCACATCACACCTCCCTAAACAGATTTGCTCTAATTGCGCTTCATTTTGGAGAAAAAGTCCACCAGGTTTAACTGTTCCTACTCAGCCCATGTGAACATTAGCAACATTAGCAAGTGCCCTGAACACAACCAGCTCAGAGACACAGCATCGTATTTCTACATTACAGTAAACTAATCACCAAGCTGCTGTGGTGAGGAGTCTATTTCTCAGTGTTAGTTAAACCTCTGTTCTGACAATCTCCAGGATTGTAAATATGCCAGTGAATAGATATTTGACTTGGAGCTGAGGATGTTTAATCACAAATGTGAGTAAATCTGTCACACTGTACGGCCCACCTTCGCTCTCCAGATGAGTTTTACCCTTTTTTTGATTGGTTACCTCATTAAAAGTGACACATGATGAGTGGAGCTTTTTATCTGAAGCTGAACATTTTTAAACTTGATCGAGTGGAAACTCAGATGAGGCTGTTTGATTGAATTATTGGTGCATTTAGGAACACAGCAATGATTTTAGACAGTATCAGCCATTGTTTACAACGCAACCAGAAGCCGTTTAGCACTACTATTTACTCTTCCGCAGTAACGAACACAGAGGTGTGAAAATGGTCTATTACAGTGTAATTAAAAATCCAGTCTGCTACTTATTACTATACTGTTTGTACAGTTTCTATCCACTGGTTGTTGTTGTTCCTGTTGTTAACAGGATGAGTCATCTACAGTTTTTAGTTGTTCAGTATTCTTAAGTACCTACAACACTCAGAAATGTGTAATTTGAAGTTATGATATCAATATCATACCGTCAAATTGCTCATCCCTGATAGACAGTGGGTTGTTGTAAACTGGGTTCCATCCAAGTCTGCTGGAATCCCCTGCAGCACTAAAGGTGGTCTCACTTCCGTCGGCTTTCCAGGCCAGCATGTCAGAAGAAGAGTGTGGTAACTCCAAGAAAAGCCTCCTGTGCTCGTTTCTGTAGTCCGGATTCCAGATGCCAGCATTATCCTCAGCATCTTCCAGCACATTTCTTTCTTTGCGCACCTGTTCCTCCTCACCGAAATACTCAATCAGAACACCAAAATGTTCCTCCTCAAGCCCCTGTTCATCCCTCACGTCAAAGCCAAACACGGCTTCATGAATATGTTCGTATTCATGCACCTGTTCCTCCTCACTGAAATACTCAATCAGAACACCAAAAAGCCTCAAGGCACCTCAAGCCTCTGTTCTTCCCTCAGATCAAAGCCAATCATAGCTTCACCGACATGTTCCTCTTCATGCACCTGTTCCTCCTCACCGAAATACTCAATCAGAACTCCAAAATGTTCCTCCTCATGCTCCTGTTCTTCCCTCACATCATTGCCAATCATAGCTTCATCTGGATGTTTTGGGATCAGAAGAGGTGGATGGTCATCCTCTCTCTCTGGGTTGATGAAGACAGGAGGCGGAAGAGGTCTACCCAGTAAACAAAGAACGTCTGTGGACGTCCAAAATGTGTTTAAAAATAGTCGGTCAGTCGGGGACATGTTATGAACGTCAATAGACGTTCAAAATCCGTTTCAAAAAGTCAGTCCATTGGTGACCTGTTAATAACGTCAACGGACATTTCACTATAACCCAAAAATAATGATAACGATCATGATAATAACAATACCAGTACCACTGCTTCTAGCCTACTGCTACTAGTACAACTACTACTACTACTACTTCTACTACTACTACTACTACTAATAATAATAATAATAATAATAGTAATAATAATAGTAATAGTAAGAAGAAGAAGAAGCAACAAAAAGAAAGCTGTATTCCAGTCCAGAGATATTATGTTATGTTTCTTTTCTCAAAGATACCAAATGTTAAATATAGATTAGCTTACTGTTATGTTAGATGTTGATTGCTGAAGCTTGATAATATTTCACTTGTCTTTATGGTGTAAAGAACATGCCATATGACGTCACATGGAGTGTGGTTGTCATTATTTAACATGGTGCCATCAGCTTTTCTATATTTCCTGGACTTTTTTCAAATTTTAATGCAAGTGCTAAATGGTGTTTGTAATTGCATATCTCATAGCAGTATGCATTATTTAAGACACAATTGGAATTTGAATGCAAACCTATTTGCGTTTTTATTTATTGTATTGTATAATAGCTGGAAACTTTTAATATAGAAAAGCAGCGTTTTTGACCGTTCATTTTCATTATCTTAATACGGTCTGACTCTGACATAAAAAACGCCCATTTTATTGTATTTCGTCATCATGGCCCTTCAGCTCTGCCAAAATGAATATTTGCAATCCTGTTTGCAACTGCATTTCCACTGTCAGCAAGGCAGTCCTGTCATTTAAGCGCTGTGGGTTTGTTGGATGTATCAAGCGGGTTAAAGAAGCCGCGATATCCATCTGAACGGACACCGATCACTGCCCCTATGGAAGGTCCTCGTCTGAGAAAGTCCTCAGCGAGCCGCCGACAGCACACAGCGCTACTGTCCACATTGGTCCAGGTGAGTAAACGTTAGCTGGCCATTTTAGGTGGACCTTTTGCCATATACGAGTCACTAAGCTTACAAAGATTTTTTTAGCTAGTATTATTGTTTGTTTTTGAATAGAGGGTACACGTTAGCCAGCTAGCTAGCTAGTTAGTATTTGATACAGCTGCTGAAGCCGTCCTGCTAAGGTCAGCTAGTGCTGAACAGTCGTGCTAACTACGGGAAACATAGCGGTCAGTTGGGCACGTCATTAATGCAGATTTAAAGATTTGTCTGTGTTGGCTGAATATAGCGAATTAAAACCTTATTAACGAAGGTAGCGGTCATTTTATTTCCCTTAATTCAGTGTGATCGATGGTGAAGGTCCTGATAAAAGCTAAGATCGCTAGCTAACGCTATTGATTCATCACGACAACGCGCGTTTTCTGACATTAGCTGTTTCTGTTGTTGCCCTGTATAACCGAAGTATTTGCTAATAACTTCTTAGAAACACCACATAATCATTCTAGTAAAACGCTAACGTGAATAGCAGCTGTATATTGTGAATGCAGCGCTCCATATAGCGTCTACGTCGGCGTTCATCTTGGATTTTTGCGCAAACTCATTCGTAAAAGTTAGCCATTAGCTATATTGAGCTACATTAGCTATATTTATCTAAGCTTGTAGTCACATGCATGAATAGCTCGAGGCTCATTTTAAAATTGCCAGGAGCACATTTTTACTTTGAAATGAACTACCACAATTAATGATTATTTTACACTATTTGAAAGTAGTTAGCTTATGCAGCTAGGTAATTTGAGTAGCTAACGCTAGCTAGCTAGCTAGCATATTTATTAAACAGCTGCAGAAGCTACAGCTGTGTTTCTAGATGTTGGTGGAGAGTGGAAATGTGGCAGTCATTCTGATGCTTCGTTCATTAGCTTTGGCTACACACGTTGAAATCATTAGTGAGGTTTTATTAGACAATGAAATGTCCTATCAGAGATAAGTTACTGAATTAACTGTAGCTGACTGTCGTCTTTTGCAAACAAATATTTGTTTCAGAAGCTGACTGGATTTGTCTGTGTGCCACAACAACATACTGGCAGTGGTCAAATAATGCACACAAGTTAAAAAAGTATTATCACAAACAGAATAGAACGTAATGTGTTAACAATTTATGTACCGGTTTCCTGGTTATCAGTTGCCACACTCATTTTATGACTAAGAACCTGTTTAAAGGACTGGTTCAGCAAAATATAAAATTTAAACAGTTTTCTGCTTACCCCCAATGTAGTCTTTTGGCCAAGACATAATTGGTGTCCAAAGTTTGTGTCTTTTAGTTTAGCAATGGAGCTGTGAAGCTAACATTTCTAACAAACACTAGAAGTCAATATTCACCTAAATCATTTCATGTCTTCATTAAGGTGGCGCAGACTTCTCAGTGTGGTGTGCAACACAATATGACATACTGTGGGCTATAAAAGTGGACAAAACGTCATCACAGAGTAAATGCCGTGGGTGACTGTCTCAGGAGTAGGATTGCTGAGCTAGAATAGTTTTTTATGGAAATGACAGTCATAATTACTGATCCAACATCAGTCCTGTGCAGCCTTTGTGTTGCCTAAAACGGCCGTAGTGGTGAGGTTTTGTTCATTTCTATAGTTCAAAGTAAGTCTTTCTGTGTCCTACACTACACTGACAAGTCTGCTGACTCTAATGGAGACCTAGATGAGGTTTGAGAGGGTTGAGAGAAGTTTTAGGGATGTATTTATGGAAAAACATCTGGGTTAATATTGTCTTCTAGTGTTTGAGCAATGTTACACATAACACCCGTACTAAACTAAAGAAGCAGAATCATTAAATGTAGTCATTTCTGTCAAATTTGATATTGGAATTTGTAAGGCATATAAAAAAGTCAAATAATAATACTGAGCTTTATAGCTGCATTCTGTTCTATTTACTACCCAGTTCGTTCTTTGGACTGTGCTTTGTTCTTTAAACAAATAAACACTGGCCAAAATAAGAGAGAGGCTTTTCAGTTCCCAGCAGTCTAGTACAGAGTTTAGAAATCTCATGGGTCTTAGGAGAATATATAAAATTAGAGACAGTATATAAAATTAGAGACAAGCTCAAGCCCTTTGCATTTAAAAGAACATATCACAACATCACTACTTCGCAGTTGTTTAGAAGCCCACTGAAATAAACATTTAAAAATAACTAAAAAATAGATTTGTAATTATCAGTTGCCTCCTTATTGGCTACATTGCAGACAGGAAAATATTATGTATATTATATGGAAACATATTTCAGATTTGAAAGGTTTAAATATATGTGAATTAAAAGCTGTCAAAGGCCTTGTGGCATTGTGACTATTAAGTGATAAGTAAGACTAAATAAGTAATAAGTATGATGTTAGAATGGCTGTCACCTTCCACAGATCCGTCTGTTTTTGTCAAGAGATTTTAATGCTTTGTGTGTGCATTAATTGTAACAGTCTTGTTTGTGTTTTATGTTAGCTGCAGTTCTGAAGTGGAACAACAAAGCCACAGCTCATGAGATGGATTCTGCTGTGGCCGATCACCTCAAGCATGCCCCCTGCAGAGCTTTTAACTTTTTTTTTTCTTTTCTTGTTTGACTTCTCAGAAACTAAAATGCAAGATTTTGTCTCGTTAAATAATCACCTTGATTTCCTTTACATTAAAACATTGAAAATCATGTACAATACTGACACAGCTTATGGTTCAAAGGTTTGAAAATTCTTTCTGAATTGATACATAGGATCTTTGTCTTAGTCCTAACGAAGTTCATGGTCCAGTTTCATGTTCCACAAATGAAATTAATAATAACTACACGTTTTCAATAAAGTTTCCATTTAACAAAGTTTGTTTTATGTTTACATTGGAATCAAAATTGTTAGTTAACTACAGGAAGTTTTTTTGCATGGGGAAAAGGTTCTTCACATTGACAGATAATGTGTTGTATATGGTTCTACATAGAAAAATTCATTCTATATAACACCAAAAAAGGTTGTTCTATTGTACAGTGTATTAAGCATGAAATGGTTCTATATAGGATTCATGCTAAAGTGTTATCTTTTTTTGAGAGTGTACTAGTGGAAATTAATTTTGGATGAGTTTTCAATGCCTTTTAATTTATAATTTATAATTTTTTCCAAGGCCTTAGAACACCTTAAAATGACATTTTTACTGTGACTTTTTGGTCGTCTTTTCAACAGTTAAGCTTGAACGTCTTTTCAACTTTCATTTTCAACCATAAGAAAACTTAAATTAAACAGCAGTTATGCACGTGATTTCAACGTTAAATCAGCGGCCTTTAAATGACGTCTTTAATGTGACTATTTTGGCCGTTATTTCAACGGCTAAGTTTAGACGTCTTTTCAACTTTCATTTTCTACCATAAGAAATCGTAAATTAAACAGCAGTTATGTATGTGATTTCAACGTTAAATCAACGGCCTTAAAATGACGTCTTTAATGTGACTATTTTGGCCGTTTTTTCAACAGCTAAGTTTAGACGTCTTTTCAACTTTCATTTTGAACCTTAATAAAGCGTAGTTTAAACGGCAGTCAGATACGTGATTTCCACGTTGTTTCAACGGCCAAATGTTTACTGGGTACGGTTTTCATCCTCGTCCTCCAGTTGCACTTCAGGCACTGGGGCCAGGGGGCCTCTCTGGAGGCTCTCACGCAGACCAGGTCTACAGACTGGAGAGAGATGAAATATCGTCACATATTTGTTAGTCTTTACGGTTATTTTTCTAAGCAGAACATACTGTTAATTTAGAACTTGTCTGTTGAACAAATCACATCTTCCTGATTTAGGTTTATGTTTTTAACATACCTGTGCAGTGAACCCAGTGCAGGCAAATGACTGTAAGCATTGTTAGTACTGAATGTAGGAAAAGCCGTTGCTGATCAGGCACCTTCGGTTTAGGTCAGTTTGTGCCAATGAGCTATTATTATTGGCTATTTAGGTCGTTACACAGGATACATGAGTTGCTGTAACTTTTCGAATAGGCTTCTTTCACCCCTTAAATAGCTAGGGCCCACCAGCAGGCCCACATACTTATTACACCCTTCTATAACCTAAGAAGAGCTCAACCAGTTTGCGTTGAAGTCTTTGTAGTTACTGGATAATAATATGCCTTAAAATATGCCTGGGATTTTAAGGGGTTAATCAGAACTTCAGACTGACCATCAACACCACAGTTTGGACTGTTTTAAACTCATGAATTCCTGGATCACACTGACTGTCGAACAATGCAGTCAGCTGGCCTGTGCACAGATTTTTGGGGGTAAGGGGCTCGAGAGAAAACAGGACAGGAATGAAACTGAATTTAATTTACAGCACATTGCAAACACTTTTATCAGGAGAGTTTCTGAGGAAAGCAAACATAGTGTTAGGACACTTTCCCAAAGCATCCCAGACAGCAAGCATGTTCGGGCCGGATTACCTTGGCCGTCACAAAGTCCTCCTAGCAGTCGCATCAGCATTGTGGACTTGTGCCACATTTGGGCCAAGTAACTGTTAACAGCACTAGACACACTGCCGATCAGCGGGCTCAGAGCGCGTTGGGGCCGGACCTTTATAACAGACGCGCCTCATTTAAAAACTGCGCCTCATTTAAAATTTGCCCCTCCCCTTTTTTCCCCGCTCAGTTCTCCGCAGTTGTCAGTTGACATCGACTGTTAAACTCGCTGCTGCTTTTGTGGTTGACTGAGAATGGAGAGGATGAGGCCCTATTCCTGGGCTCACTTACAGTCAGTGCAGATGCAGGTCCTTGGATGACAGAAATAAAAATGGATCACAGCAACATTGTGTGTAAAATAGACACAGGCGCAGATGTAACAGCAGTGCCAGAGAGGCTGTGTAACCAGGAACAGCTCGGTAGACTGGAAAGGTCAGCAAAGGTCCTAAAGGGCCCAAGAGGGAGACCACTGTCCGTAAAAGGTAAATTCACAGCCACACTGAAGAAAGGACAAAAGTGCACACTACAGGAAGTTTATGTTGTGGAGGGACTGACCACACCATTATTGGGTCGTTCAGCCGCCACAGCGCTGCAGTTGGTAGCCAGACTGGATGTTGTCAATCTAGACTCAGAAGGAGCAGTAAAAGCAGAATTCCCCAAGTTATTCAATGGCCTAGGGAAGATGCAGGGCGAGTATAACATTGTTCTGAAGCCAGATGCTAAACCCTTCTCTCTCTCCACCCCTAGACGCATTTCCCTCCCTCTTCTTCCAAAGGTTTAAGAAGAATTGAATCGCATGGAGCAACAAGGAGTCATCTCAAAAGTGGAACAGCCAACTGAATGGTGTGCACCTATGGTGGTGGTGCCCAAGCGAACAGGCAAGGTGAGAATATGCACTGACCTCACAGAACTGAACAAATCAGTCATGAGAGAAAGGCACCCACTTCCTTCAGTAGAGCACACACTGGGACAGCTGGCAGGTGCCAAAATATTTTCAAAACTAGATGCAAACTCTGGGTTCTGGCAGATTCCACTTTCAAAAGAGTCTTCACTGCTTACCACCTTCATTACGCCGTTTGGACGATATTGTTATAATCGCTTGTGCTTTGGAATCTCTTCAGCGCCTGAGCACTTCCAGAAGCGCATGACACAAATCCTCGAGGGTCTGGAGGGGGTTTTGTGTCAGATGGATGATGTGCTCATCTGGGGAGCCACCCAACAGCAGCATGACGAGAGGCTACGCGCGGCACTGTCACACCTCCAGGAGGCTGGGGTAACACTCAGTGAAAAATGTGAGTTTTCTAAGAGCAAAATTAAGTTCCTGGGGCAGGTCATCGAGGCATCAGGGGTGAGCGCTGACCCTGAAAAAGTGAAAGCAGTAAAGGACATGAGAGAACCCACTAACGTCAGTGAAGTGAGAGGACTGCTTGGAATGATAAATCACCTGGGTAAATTTTTACCCCATCTGGCCGAAAAAACCCGTCCGCTCAGAGAACTGTTAAGGAAGTCAAATATGTGGGCCTGGGGGTCCCAACAGCAGGAGGCCTTTGACAGAATTAAAAGGGAACTAACAACACAGCCTGGGTTGGCACTGTATGATCCAAATGCTGAAACACTGGTCTCTGCTGATGCTTCATCATATGGACTAGGTGCTGTTCTCCTCCAAAAGCGACCAGATCAAGAATGGAAACCAGTAGCGTATGCTTCACGGGCCCTCACCAGCACTTCAAATCAATTTTTGCTCGCCATGGAATTCCAGAGATTGTGCGTTCAGACAATGGGCCACAGTTTGCATCGGATTGCTTCAGATGCTTTGCACAGGATTGGGGCTTTAGTCATGTAACATCCAGTCCTCATTTTCCACAGAGCAATGGGGAGGCTGAGAGGGCGGTGAGAACAATCAAGAATCTTCTAAAAAAGTCAAGTGATCCCTATCTCGCTCTCATGGCCTACCGTGCTGCTCCACTGGCTAATGGATATAGCCCCACTGAGCTTCTCATGGGAAGAAAGATTAGAACACCTGTTCCTGTCATCCCGTCCCAACTCAAGCCAAAATGTGTGGACTGGAGGAAGCTGAAAGAGAAAGAGAACACATACAGACAAAAACAAAAACACAATTACGACCGCAGACACCGAGTACATCCCATGGCAGACCTTCAGCTGGGAAAGCATGTGTGGATAAGACACAGTGGAACGTGGCACAGTTGTGTCTTCTGCCAACACACCCAGATCTTACATTGTGGAGACACCTGGGGGTACCCTACGGAGAAACAGGTTCCATCTCTCTCCAACACCAGTGGCCCCTGAAAGTGCAATCAACTTACCTGACATGTCTACTGAACCAAACACTTTGGTAGATTCAACAAGAACACCTGTCTCACCAAAGACTCAAGATCAGCGGCAGCAGCCGCAGTGCCAAACAGCTGAACGCCGATACCCTGTCAGAGAGAGAAAGGTCCCAAGTCACCTAAAGGACTTTGTATGTACTTAAAGATGAGATACAGAGAACTGAGTGGTTAATGGGGCAGAATAATCCCCACACTCAGGAGAAGGGATGGGCAGTCTACCCCATCCTTCTTTAGAAAAAAAAAAACTTGTGATGTTGTTTTGTTTGAAATCGCAACAAGAACTGTAAATAGTAAAAGTGAAAATATATGTTGCTCTACAGGTTATGGAATTTGGTTATCTAGTACGATACCCCTAAAGGAAAGGACACTTTATCTCAGAAAGGGGGATGTAGTATCAGGTCATTTGCATAGGTAGGAACCTTTGTAATGTTCACGGGGGACCGGGGGGGGGGAGAGAATAAAGGAGGGGAGTTCGAGAGTGAAGAGCGTGCGTGGAGTCGTATGTTGTGTCTCTAACTCAATAGAGTGGTTTATTATTGTACCAAACAATAGAACAATTACTAGCACTATTATTATTGTCTCTGTATGTACATCTGCTGATATGTTCAGAAGCCTCAGCAGAGCTGTTTACAGAGATAATAAAGCTACTACTACTAGTAATAATAATAGCTTGACTTGTTCAGTCCTGTAATTTTGAGACGGTCTCTGACTCTGAGACAGGCAAGCACAGTGATAGCGTGAGTTGAACCTTTTGGCAAAAATAAAAGAATAGAAAAAAGAACAAGAAAAGAACAGCACGGTTCAGTACAAACTGGGGTTGTTGTGTTTGTTATCTTTAATATGGCCATGAAAGTGTAATTAATCCAATAAGACATAAAGTAATTGCGAATGTCACACGAACTTTACCGTCCGTGGCCGTGGTGGTCTGAGGTGGTCCCAAAACGGTCACAGTAACGCAGCCGGTGTTTTTAAACATACATGCAGCACCGAGCGTGTTTAACTACCGCAGCTCGGTCATGTTGACGTGTCGGAATATTGTTTCACGCTGTGGTTTGCATTAAATAAACCAATAAAAGACTGTGTTTTACCGTCATTATGGGCTGTTACTGCGGTAGCTCGGTAACTCTTACCGGGCTCAGGCCAAGGCCCGATATATAAAACAGACGCGCCTAATTAAAAAACATTCCCCTTTCTTTTTTCCTGCTCAGCGGTCTACAGTCATCCGTTGATATTGACCTATAAAGTTTGCTGCTGACTTTGAGGTAAGTTAATCATTACTTTCAATATCTAT